AAAGCTAGTGATTTCTGCTCTTTTTGATTAAAAGCAATTCTGTCGCCCCATTAAATTGAGGTCATGTTATGCATGGCATTAAAAAACATGTACATTCTGATTACAAACCTTGCATTTTCCTTTTCAAAATTCACTCGTGTCTTCAATTTCCACATCCAAATCATCCTCGTAGTCATCATCGGAGGACAAACTGTTCTAACTCTCCGTGCCTGCGAGTAGCGCATCAATCTCCTCGGGATAGGAAATGTCACTCCAGACCACGTTTCCATCTCCGTCCCATCCATGCTCATCGGGGCTCTCAAGTTCTACTAGAAGCTGATCGGCGTGTCAAAAGATGTACGCGACATAGTTAGCTCTCATGATGTGATGATATTTGACTGGCATGGTGGCATCAGACTTAGGTCGATGATCTTCTTCTCCTTGTTGAACTTGTTCCAAAATACTTTCTTCCTTGCCTCATTGACTGAGAGGATACGTGGATGCCCGTATATAGAACAGACGAACCATTCTAAACCCCGAACCAACTCCTCACTTGCTGTCACCTCCGTACCCAAATGTGAAAATAGATCGATAAAGGCAGTGTTCTTGGTCACGGCTTTCCACACGGCCTGCTTTCTCCTTCGAAAAAAGTTAGATACATAATCGTTTCCGCCAAGGGACAATTCAGTTGACGTCACGTCGATGATTTTCCTGTTCTTCCCGCTGCCATTGTCAGAATCTGCGTGTCCGAAAAATAGTGACCAATGAACAAGGTTATTATGTCTATATCACCAGATGGCGACCGTACCATTGCAGTTGAGCTAGGTGGCAATTGGCTAGTACGCACAAATGCAACGAGTTTGTTGTCCGCTTCCTCGCGGTCGCTGGTTAATTCTGGTAATAAACTCATTGCATTTGTGCATGCTAGCCAATTGCCACCTAGCTCAACTGCAATGGTACGGTCGCCATCTGGTGATATAGACATAATAACCTTAGCTTGTTCATTGGTCACTATTTTTCGGACACGCAGATTCTGATTGACAATGGCAGCGGGAAGAACAGGAAAATCATTGACGTGATGTCAACTGGATTGTCCCTTGGTCACAGATGAGCTCTTTTGGGAACGCATGCCTTTTCTGGACGATTATGTATCTAGCCTTTTTCGAAAGCAAAAGCAGGCCGTGTGGAAAGCCGTGACCAAGAACACTGCCTTTATCGATCTATTTTCATCCTTGGGTACGGAGGTGACAGCAAGCGAGGAGTTGTTTCGGGGTTTAGAATGGTTCGTCGGTTCTATATACGAGCATCCACGTATCCTCTCAGTCAATGAGGCAAGGAAGAAAGTATTTTGGAACAAGTTCAACAAGAAAAAGATCATTGACCTTTGTCTAATGCCACTATGCCAGTCAACTCTTCATCATCACATTATGAGAGCTAACTATGTTGCGTACATCTTTTGACACGCCGATCAGCTGCTAGTAGAACTCGAGAGCCCCGACGAGCATGGATGGGACGGAGATGGAAGCGTTGTCTGGAGTGACATTTCCTATTCCGGGGAGATTGATGCGCACGGAGAGTTAGAACAGTTTGTCCTCCGATGATGACTACGAGGATGATTTGGATATGGAAATTGAAGACACGAGTGAATTTTGAAAAGGAAAGTGCAAGGTTTGTGATCAGAATGTACATGTTTTTTAATGCAATGCATAACATGACCTCAATTTAATGGGGCAACAGTATTGCTTTTTATCAAAAAGAGCAGAAATCACTAGGTATATATAACTTCGATTTTTGAAATTAGCGCACCGAAATTGAGCAAAATCACCAACTTCCTTGGCTATCTAAGGCACATATGTAGGCACCAAAACGAGGCTGTACGCACCAGAACGAGGCTGAAGGCCTCGGTATTTTGCTCTGTAACGTCGATTTTTGAAATCAGCGCACCGAAATTGACCAAGATCACCAACGACTTTGCCTATCTAAGCTAACTAATGATTTCCATCTATTTGCACCAAAACGAGGCTGCATGCACCAAAACGAGGCTGAAGGCCTTGGTATTCGCTCGTGTAACATCGATTTTTGAAATCAGCGCACCGAAATTGACCAAAATCACTGGTTTCCCTAGCTAACTAAGACAACTAACGTGTTCCCTATGTATGCCCCAAAACGAGGCTATATGCATCAAAACGAGGCTGAAGGCCCCGGTATTGGCCCGTATAACATCGATTTTTGAAATCAGCGCCCCAAAATTGACCAAAGTCACATATTCTCATAAATTCCCTGCTCGGGTTACGATACCCCCCTTTCTCCTCCTGGACTATAACATATGCGCTTTATTTAAATGAATAAAAAAGAAATATATATTATTATTAACTTTGTATTAATGTTATAGATTTTGTTCTTGTTGTTCTTGAATGTCTTTCCTATGGATTGTATGCGAAAGTTTCATAGTTAAATTAACTTTTGTAGAAGTTCATGATAAAAAGGAAAGCAAATTATTTTCATAAAATACAAAACAATAGATACTCCGAAAATTGAAAGCATTTTGAAAAATTTATTTCGACGTTTTCACTAAACTATAGTCATCATCAGGAAATGAAAAATAAATTAAATTATTAAATAAAATTAATAATTAATAATAATAATTAATAATTTATAATTATTAATAATTAATAATTTTTAATTATTTAATATTATTAAATTATTTTCATTAGCGTTCTGTACGAATTAAATTTATTTCATTTCAAAGTGCGAGTAATAAGTTGAGCTCAAGTTAATGCGATCGGCAGAAAGCATTTAATTTCAATTCACATTTAAAAACGTTTTACGTAGAGTTTGGTTTTCAATTTTACATTAAAATAAAGCACATAGAAACCAAAATAATATACCTACTTTACATATTTTAGAAATTGATAGTTCTGTACTTAAAAGTGTTCAAGTTTCATCTGTTGTTTGCAGGTTTGAGGTTTGTACCGAAAAAAAATTTAAAAAGTTATCGTGTTGCCATGACAATCATGACGTGAGCAACGCGAGCCTGCGTTCAATGTTGGCGTAATTACGAATACTTCATGTTGAAACAATGTTTGGAGAATATAGGCGAGGGGTTGTTCCATGCATGTATTTCTAGTAGCATTTATTAATTATGGTTTATATCGTGGTCTTTATTTGATTGGAAATATGCAAATATACCCCCATATTTAAGAACGGCAAAAGGAGGAGGTTGAAAACTTCAGACCAGTTTCTTTATTGCCAGTTATTTCCAAGGTACTGGAAAAGTGTGTTGCTAATCGTTTAATCGAACACGTTTCGGATGTTTTACATAATTCTCAGCATGGCTTTCAAGCAGGAAAGACTTGTGCAACACAGTTGCTATAGGCATTTCACATTGTGGGTCGTGCCCTTGACAAGGCAAAAGAGGTTGATATTATTTTCTTGGATTTTGCCAAAGCTTTCGATTCGGTTTGCCATGTGAAGCTTCTATCTAAACTGCGATTATTATTTGGTGTTGAAGGTCTTTTGTTAGATTGGTTTAGGGCATATTTGAGTAATAGACAACAGCGTGTTATTATTAATGGAACTCGCTCCTCTTGGGTAACTGTTGGTTCTGGCGTCCCACAGGGATCGATACTGGGACCAATACTGTTTTTGCTTTTTGTGAACGATATGCCTGAGGTTATATCAAAATCACTTTTATTTGTGTTCGCCGATGATTCGAAGTGCCTCAAAGGATGAACTCCTTGGATGACTGTTTATGTTTACAATCTGACTTGGATAGATTATATAGCTGGTCCTTAGCCAACAAGCTTTTTTTTCAGCCATCGAAATGTCATAACTTGTGAATCTCGAGAAAGCGTTTTAGTCTTCGACGAGAATTTAACCTAGCTAAATGAGATTTTAGAAATTGTAGAATTCGAAAGAGATCTGGGTGTCACCATAAAGCCAAATAAAAAAACAACTTGGTTAGCGTCACCGCCCGCCTCTCGATTTTTTGCCGCCTCTGAATATTTTTTAATTTTTTTTTATGTAAATCTCTTCGTTTTACAGCATAAAACAGTTTAATATTTGAAATTTTTCCCATGTTCAGACCTTCGCGCTATATACTGATCGATAGGAGCGCGTAGGCTTGGGTATACAAGGTTCTTAAAGCAAAATGGCGGCCTTCGCAACATCAGTACAAAAAATATCACCGATATGATGGAAAAACCGCCCCCATCCCCCCCAAAAAATACTATTAAAAAATTAAAAAACGAGTAAAAATTTTAAAAAAACCCGCCCGCCCGCCTCTGAAAATTTGTGAGAGTGTGACGCTAACCAAGTATTTTTTTTTATTTGGCCTAAGTAAGGATACTAGTTGGAGTCAGCACATAAATATTCGGTAGTCTCAAGGGCAAACCAAATGTTAGGTTTTCTTAAAAGGAATTGCGGTGGAATATTGGACAGTAAAGCGTTGAAATCTTTTTACATGTCATTGGTTCGATCACGTACATTTGTTATGATTCACAACTTTGGGCACCTCAGACGGTGATTAAGGACTTATTATTAATTGAAAACGTCCAAAGGCGAGCAACTCGGTTTATATGCAAGGCTGGGAATGAATGGTCTTATAAGGAAAGACTTCTTCATCTGAATATATTGCCTATTAATTACTGGTTTGAGTATTTAGATTTAGTTTTTTTTGTTTAAGTGTGTTCATGGCTTAATTAAGGTAGATATTTCACAGTATGTTAATTTACTGAGGGGCGCTCTCGAAGAGGAAAAACATGTCTCTATTTAGATAGTCAATATATGCTAGAACGTCCTATTACCGTGATACATATACTTTAATTATGAGAATAACTAACTTGTGGAATGCGATACCAGAGGTGTTAAGCTCTGCTGGAACTTTAAAAAGTTTTAAGAGAGATTTAAACAATTTTTTCTTTAGTCGCTATATACCATGTTGAAACAAGAAATAGATCATAATTTATTTCTTATTTTTATTTCTCAAGGATATATACAAAAGGTTAATTAATTTAAATTTGCAACGTTTCGGACATTTTAAATGTCTACTATAAATCTTACTGGTAACATGGCTGGCTGCCGATTATCTTGGATTTGAGGGTTTTGAACAAGATATTGCAAGATTTAATTATAAATGCACAAGATATACTGTACTGTAAACATGCATCTACTTGAAGAATGTAAAATGAACAGTGATGAGTGATCACTGATGTAATATAATTCTGTACTTTAATATTTGGAAAACCTTTTTGGCAAATCTTGAGAATAATGGCTTTGGGAATCAATGTTGAAAATTGAAAACTGTCAGATAGCTGCATGGACAGCATGGTTAGAAGCATACATGTCATCGGATGAAACTCCAACTTTTGTTAATTGCTGATGTTCTAGCATTGGAATGAACAGTGTTATAAGAACCAATGGTGCTGAACTAATTTGGGTTTATTATAAAATATTGTTTATCATTTAGTTCTGGCCATTAACCTTACCTATTAAGTTATACATTGTGTCTTACTTTTTATTTTACTCTGGTGTGCACCCCCCCCAGGCTCTGGTCAACAGGGGTGCATGGGGGGGTGCAAAAATGACGTTTATCCTAATTCTAACCAACTTATGTTAAGGAATTCAGTTGCGTATCACTAAGTTGACAATAGTGGAATAGCCAATATTAAATATTCTGAATTTTTAAATGTTTTGAGAATCTAAAAATTTTCCAGAATGTTTTCTCAGAATGCTGGAAATGCCATTTCAGAGACCCAAATTTTAAAAATTTCCCGTGGTAGTATGCCCCCGGACCACCCTAGAAATCTCGCACCTTCTGGCGCTCGTTTCGCCATTGGTTAGCACCCCCCCAAAAAACTTTGCTGGATCCACCACTGCACCAGATGATTTTATATGTTAGGATAGATCATTGGTGTTCAATGGATTATGTCATAATACACAAGCTAACACCATCATTGGCAATGGAATTGAGCAGTGATGTAGCCAGAATTTCTAATTAAGGCCTTCAAGGGGGACTGAAATCCCCAGGAGGGGCCTGCACTAGTTTGAATAAAGTTCGTTAGTATGTAAAAATATATTTGGACTCCCAAGCTATCCATGTATAATATAGTACAATGTAGACTTTTTAAATTCTAGTTAATAAAGTGCCATTTTGGGGGGCTATTTTAATGTGTTTTGGTGATTTGAAATAACCTTGCAGTTAAAACATGTTCAACTCTAATTAATTACAAACAAGTTCAGAACATTTAAAATATTTTGACCCCCCACCCCCTCTGGTTACACCACTGGAATTGACTTGAGCCTTTTAGACCTCTGAATTTTAGTTGCAACTTAGAACAGTGTTCTGACATACAAGAAAATTGTAAGAAAATTTAAAATTTGTGCAAAAGCATTTCTCAAATAGGTCGTTCCAGAAAATATCCACACTCTCCCCACAGAGGAAATTTCTGCCGTTCAGAGGGGGAGGGGGGAAAATTGTTTCTGATAATAGTAAATGTATTAGGTGGTTTTTTTTTCAAATCTAATCAAACTGTCAAATTGTCAATCCTTGTACATGGGGAGGGGAAATTTTGGAGAAAGAAAAATTGTGACCAATCAGGTTGGGGGTCCACCTGTAGGCCTGGTCATAGGCATACAGGGCTGGGCTCAATTGTTGGGCAGACTAGGCCAGTCGGGCAATATTTACTTCACAGTTGGGCAATATTGGCTTATTATAAAAATAAATATGAGAAATTATTCCCTCAATATTGGGGGAAATATGCTATATAATGGTCGAAAATTTAGTTCATTTTGATTAATAGTCATTTAATATGTGCTATCAACAGTTTCTTTATGGTATTATTAAAGTAACAGATTACAATGTTTGTACATTAAAGACTTAGAGGCACTAATAACTCAATAATAAATAGGCACTAATACAAACTCTGAGCCAGTGCACCCAGCAGCCTCAAATTGGGAATAATTTGTAAATTTAAATATTTGTGTATAATTCATAATTTATCCTATTCCAATACAAAATGAAATAAATATAGAACACACAATTTATCAAATAAAGGTAAAAAAGGTATTAAAAACTTTATTATGTAATATTTACATTGAATATCGTGGTTGAAGTTGTAGATTTATACTTGAAATTTCAATTTTCGAACGAGAAATGTTTCGCTCTATTTAATATGTTAATTAAATTTTTTACTTTGTTCGCCATTCTTGCTTATTTACAAATACAAATAGTCCATTTCTTCTTTTGCTCTTTTCAAAATAGCCCAGAATTTGGTTCAAAAAAAGTATTTTCATGCAAAAACCAGCATTTAACTTTTGTATACACTCCTTGTGATAGCAGACATGTTGCCAAAATATCACCCGGTTAATGAATAACTTCCGGTACTTTCATTGTATTCGCATTGACCAATCAAATCACGTTCTGAGTTGGATTATCCCAGGGCACAGAATAAAGATCAGTACCAGAAGGGCCACTCAGCGGTGCAACGTGTCCCCATTTTTCTATGCAAAAACATGCAATTGACTGGCTAGGAAGATGGCGGCCAGCCAATACAGCGCCGTTCATTGGCCAGAAAATGTAATCGACTGGCTAGGAAGATGGCGGCCAGGGGGCCCTTCTGTGTGCCTTATTCTGTGCCCAGGGCTTCTCAATCTCGTACCCAGAGCCATCGTTGACTCGTTGCCACTCAACGATGGCTCTGGGTACGAGATTGAGGGCTTCTGAGAGCAACAAGCGCAGAAGCCCCGGGTACGAGGTTGCCTGCGTAGCGGCTATCGGAGAAAGGACAGCCTGCACGAAACCCCATGCTTTGCCGTATTTACTCTAGCCTGCGAACAGGCTCTCAAGCTGAATTGAGAGCCTGCATCGATGACTAATGAATCTGAATATCTGCGTCTCAAATCGTGACGCGAAATTCTCATTGGTCAGATGCTATAATTTATATGTTTCCGCTGAGCTCTATATATGTCAACTGCTGAAGCACTATGCATAAAAAACACATTAACTGATCAAATTGGTCTTGGCCATCTTATCTCAAAGCACGAAATGTTCTGTTTTGAGAAAACAGTATTTAAAACATTTAAACTTTTGCTTGAATATCTTATATTTCGAAAAACAGTATAAACTGTACGGTCTAAATTTAGTTTGCACGGTCTAAATTTAGTTTGAACGAAAGTTGTAAACAACACCATATAAGGATAGACATTCCATATTTGGAAAAACGAACGTTACGGCGGTAAAGGCTATTAATTTCAGATACGGTAGAGCACCTAGTCCCCAGGCCTTTACCAGCGCGACCGCGAAATTCAATATGGCGCCAAGCTAAGGAGTGGAGTTTAAATGGAGTTTATATTCTATAATTTCTATTGTTGTTTTTTGATCTTTTTATTCTTTTTGGTTGGTAGAACTTATATTCTGATATGCCAGGTATCTTACTCTTTACCTGATTAATCTGAAAAAAGATTTTATAACAGAATTTTTCTCAAACATAGTTTAAATTAATATCTATATGTTTCAGTGAATTATACTATAAAAGTAAAAAATAGATTGGCCAAGATAAGAAATTTTTGACACTTTCAACTTCAATTTTGAAAATTGTAATAACAGCCTAGTTTATATTCCATAATCCACAGAGCTTGAAAATCCATGCGGAATGTGCAAATTATTGACTTTTCGAGTGAAGTTCTGTTTGAATTTTTCAGGTACTAAGTTATATCTAGTTATTTTGTTATCGTCTCTATCTAGCCTGGCACAGACCGTTCAAGATTGCACTGTTTAATTAGCACCAACACTAACAGTCATGGTGGCAGGGATGGATCCAGCATGATCTGGTTGTCACATATAGCATGACAGTTTATGTAAATTAGCATTTAGTATGATATAAAAGACTTGTTGTTGACAAGACTGTGGGATATATATATACGGATATTAAACGTATTTTACATGGTGTCAGGAGTAGGATATGATCAGGGAACGAAACAGTTATCCAGTTTACAGCCAAACGAGTCGGTGAGGATTCGACAGGGAGGCGTATGGAATCCAGCCGTGGTCGTTGAACAACATAAATCACCTCGTTCGTACATTGTGGCAACTTCAAATGGAACTCAGTTACGCAGAAATCGCCAGCATCTAATGCCAACTAACGAACCACCAATGATTATTACACCACCAATGGAACCTGTCGGCGAAGAAGAACGTTGTTCAGGTATAGCTCCGAGTACCGTACGTTCACCAGTTCGTTCTCCAGTTATATTCCCGAGTACAGAAATAGAGGAAGAACACGTACGAACACCATTGAGAAGAAGTACAAGAGTTCGAAGGGCACCTTCCCGATTGATTGAGAACATCTAGTTAAGTATAAAGGAATGTATATATATAGTATAAGATGAATTTAGTATAATTAGGATATTTTAGAAACTTTAGTTCGGACTTGAACACCAGTTGAATTGTTTAATAGTTCGGAACTATGCATGAAAAAAAATAGCAAAAAAAAAAAGAAAGAACGGGAGATGTCACATATAGCATGACAGTTTATGTAAATTAGCATTTAGTATGATATAAAAGACTTGTTGTTGACAAGACTGTGGGATATATATATACGGATATTAAACGTATTTTACACTGGTAGGAGGGGGGGGGGGGTTGATCTGCCAGCTCTAATGCCGAGTTATGTTGATCATGCATGCCACCCGCCCATCAACTTACAGGTCAAGTCTTGCTTGACTACTGTATTTGAATTGTAATTGTTGTTCACAGTTTGCTTCTTATCATGTTATCGATATCACTCAAATTACTGTATCTCATTTTGTCTCTATAATATTTTTTTGTTTTATCATGAAAAATAGCACTCCCCCCCCTGGCCAGGGCTAGGGAGGTGCACCCCTCCCCCAGTAAATCCATCCCAACATACAGTTGGGTTTATAGGGGGAGGGGAGGGGGGTTGACAGAGGTACACACCCTTGGCCAACAGGGGAGTGTAAAAATCTAAAGGGGGTGGGGGGGTGGGGGGGTGCACTTCAAATTTAATTTACCATACATCTGAGCATTTGAGATATTGTATATAATTAGTATTACAAATATATTGCCACCTTGTAACCTTAGATATTTCATGTGGTATGTGTAATTGGGAAGTATCTTACTCGTCAAGCAATGCCGGGTTCAGAGTCCTCACCTGTTCTCCTAGCAATCAACAATATACAATTTTAATGCCAAATTGTGTGCCAACATGCAAAATGGACTCTGCACAGGTTGTGCACTACCTTTTCATTTCATGCTGGGTGAACATTATCATGAGGATAGCAAAAAAAACATATTCACAACTAATGTGTCCTCTTTTACTACTTTTGTAATTGTCTTGTTCCTTCTGTCTTTATTCAATAGGGTACTAACCTTGTATACAGGGCGTTATAGAATTAAACAAAATCTGGGCAGGATGTTACAAGGCCATCGGAAGTAAATCAATATTGGGGGGACTCAAGAATATATATCTGAATAAATTTTAATTGCTTTTGCACTTTTCTAGTTATTTTGTGTGTTTTGCTTATACAAATGGAAATTTTAGGGGGGCTCAAGCCCCCCACTTCTGACGGCCTTGTGTTACATGTGACATTGCCAGCTGCCATTAATAGTTTGCAGAATTGTGAAAAATAAATCAATGCTGTAGATTGCAAGTGGTAATGCACTTTCTCCATTGGTATTATAGACATAATACACATAAAATTCCACAAGACCAATTAACTTGGTTAAATCCTGAGTATTCCATACTCATTGGGAAATCAGTCAGATGCAGATGGTATATCCTTAAAGCTAGATTACAGTCGCTTCTGCGCATGTGTCAAAAATGTAAACAAATGTGAGCACACTTGTTTTGATTTTGTGTGCTCTCCAGTCCTTATTCGGATATGCGCGCTCAAAATGGCCGACTCGTAAGAGTTATATAATAGAGCCGTCCACTTCAAAGGCAAATTCTTCTAATGCTGGTCGCCAAAACCAACCAGGAAATCGAAAAGAACATTTCGCGAAAAGGTATGCAACGAAAATGTACTTTAATGATACTATTGGTCGGTGAAATCATTTAAAAACTCAAGCTGGAATTAAAAGTGACGAGGGTTCGCGAATACTATGCTGATCGAGCCTGTATACGAAACATCAAGACGGATTTAATTGTGGTAAGCACATAACACATATCCCTGGATATTTCAGTTATGTTAATGTTGTTATATTTTCTCATTACAAAATTTTTTTGTTCACTTATAGCGCTGTGGAAACCCAGACGGATCAGTAGCCAGATGAAACAATACAATGCAGACATGAGCCATTGCCAGTATATGTTCAGCAAGGGGAAGAAACAGCAATGGAGCCATATAAAGATTCTCTCCTAGGCAGTACGAATACATCCTACAACTTATAATGAAGGTATGTATAACATTTTATGCTTTCCTGAATCCTAGTAACTTTTAGTTTTCACTTTTCATTATGAAATTCCATATTTTTCATATCACATTTTCAAACAAATATTTTGATCGTTCTGTAGGCATGTTGATTGACGTGTTTTAAGAGCACTTAAGGCTTTTTGGAAAGCCAAATTTTGATTTGCATGAACATTATTAACAAAATCAAAATGTGGCTTGAAAAAAGCCATTTGAGTGTTTTTAAAACACATTGGTCAGCAGCATTTAAACAGGAATAAAACTAATTATAAGTCTTCTTTAGATATGTGGAATGGTGTTGCAAGTGATTGCCGAAGGCAAATCGCTCCTAACATAACCCCTGTCCCTCCTCTTTCAGTCAAAGAACTTGTTGAAACCCATCAGTATAAATTCAACTGATCACTGTAGACAAGTGTCTGCCAGTTAAAACAAAGTGCTCTGTTAGGTGGAGCTCATAATCCCTGAAAGGCAATCCACCTAGGAGAAGGAAATCTGATTACAAACCCCTGGACCCCAATACTGAGCCAGGGTGTCCATATTGGATTCATTGATCTTCGGTGCATAGCAATACACTTTTCAGGACTGAAGTAAGGAGCAAGGAGTAATTTTAAAGAATAAAAAAATCAATGTCAATATACAAAATGTTGTGCTTGAACATCCAATGTATTTGATAACTGGTCTTTTATATAATGAAATATTACTGTTCATAAACATTTAACCATTAACATGATAAAGGCTTTCATTTGTTAGCAAAATTTGCTGTGGTTAGTAGACAGAGAAAGCTTATAATAAGTTTGAAGAATTTTGAACTGCAATTTTCTTCTTTTGGTGTATGTGTTAGAGTAAATAATAAAGCCATGCAAAGTAATGTTTCCTGTAATTTTGCTAAAACACAAATGCCAAAAGGAGAAAATCAAAGTTTAAAATCGCTTGTGTGAACGGGCCTTAACAGGTGTGAATTACCCAAGTTCTTTCAAAATATTTAAAATTATCCTCCCTGTCATGGGGAGATAATTGCAGTAAAATGGATTAATGAATAATAAAGTTTCCCTCAATGATCTCTCTAATGCATGGCCATGTCCAGATCGAACATTTCCATCAAGTACTAATTGTGCCACTGTGGGAAGAGAGGGCTAGGCGGTTATGCAAGGCTGTCTTGATTGTGTACAGCATTTGTTTACCCATTTTGTTGGCATTGCAACACAGCATCCACATTTGTAATACTCTGAGGCATTTTCTGGTTTTTCGTAGCTGGGTCTGGTTGAAGCGGTTCACCTGGCAATTTACCAAATTGACAAATGCAGCTGGCTGATGCTGTATAAGCTCTAACGCAAATGCTCTTCAAAGGGCATTTAAATCCATTGCTTCCACAAGATTCTGAAATGAATATATTTATCATTAATTAAATGCAAAGACTCAAGTACAGCGAAACACAGATATTTCTTACCACCAAATTACTGCATTTTCACAGCTATGTACACTTGTATATAGACAGGTAAGCCTTTTTACATAATTTGATATTTTACCCGGCAAGGATATGCATAATTATGTGGGGTATTTAATAAAACAAATCATGTGTGTTAAAGCCAGTAGTTAAAGCTTTCAGAAATATAAGTCTGTGTATATTTTTGGCAGGCAAAGTATCAAAATATGTAAACAAAGTTTACCCAGCTATTGTTAGATAATCATTACCCTTTGAGTGAACTATCGCGGTGAACAACATTACATATTCTCAAATGAACCATTGCTCAGGCCACATTTTTTTGCGTATAAACTAACAAAACATATATAAAGTTATAAACTAATGAACAAATACAATAAGATTACATGTGAAGCACGTTTCTAACGAACAGTACATAACTAATAGCAATAATACAAACTCACCATCTGTCCTTCGATTGTTCATACATGTATCAAAATCCTCTTCGCGGCACGCGCTTGAGCAAAAAATACCCATACTCTATCGAAGACAGAAGCTGGAGGCCCCGCTGGAGCAAGCCGCGACATGAACATATCGTTTCCAATTCTTCCAGCGAAAAGCTTTCTCCGAGTGCTTCTGCCACGACAGCAACAATGACTTTGGCAATGTGTTTTGACGAACAAATACCCCAAGGAAAAATTAGTGATTACTTTGACACTTCCAAAGTTTATTTTACAATGCCGAACATTAATATAATCAACACAATGACTCGCACCTTTGGGTCGGCTTTGTCGGTCTCTTCTGAATGTTTCATCAACGAGGCACACAAAAAACAAATGCCGAATTGATCAACAATATATCTTCCACTCATGATCTTTCAAAATATTTAATTGCTTGTCTTTCAGAAGACAATTTTAAAAAAATTAACAACTCCACTCCTGACTCGGACTCCATTTATAGAGCTGGCAGATCAACCCCCCCCTCCTACCAGATCATGCTGGATCCATCCCTGCCACCATGACTGTTAGTGTTGGTGCTAATTAAACAGTGCAATCTTGAACGGTCTGTGCCAGGCTAGATAGAGACGATAACAAAATAACTAGATATAACTTAGTACCTGAAAAATTCAAACAGAACTTCACTCGAAAAGTCAATAATTTGCACATTCCGGGCCATTCCATTTAATATACCCCCTATGGATGAGGTTTTCTGAGGGTTGTCTGAATTTTGACAAAATTCTTAAGGGTTGCCTGTAAATTATTAAAATTTCTTAAGGGTCATCTCTAATTTACTAAAATTTCTTGACGTTTATAACATCGAATAAAAGTTTATCCGAAGGGTTGTCTAAAATATGAAAAATTCTGAACAGCATGCTATTGGAGATGAAGTTTTCTGAGAGATCGCCTGAATTTTAAAAAAATTCTTAGGGTTTGTCCACCAGGACGACGAATTTCT